AAAAACTGTTCGATACTAGTTAAAGGGCAGTTGAAACATTCAGAGCTATGCCTTGAAACGAGCAGTCTTGTTCTTTCATGAAATTTCCTCTTTTGCCTGAAGTTTTTTTTTAAATCCGAACACTATAGACATTAAGGCTCAATGGAAAGCTCAATGCGTCGCCATAAGATTATCAGTCTTATTGTTCCGACTGCTTTTGAATAGAGTGACGGAATATTTGTCATCAGGGTGGTTTATCTCCAGACTAAAACCGTTATTTAAAGAGCTTTTTTTTTAGCAAAACCTTGCTTTACCATCTGAAAAGTATTGCTGTTTTGAGCTCAAATGTTTCGCGCGATATTTTTTGTGCTATGAACGCGTGAGCGACGATTTTCTCTGGCTTAGAAATGGTTCCAATTTGAATTGAGGTATGCTATTTACTCTAATTAACATGTTACTTACAGCTAAAAAATATATAATTTTGCGCATTAAATAGCATGTGAGGTATGATTTTCTATCAGAAATCAGAACAATTCTCAAACTTTTTTTTTGGAAATTTCGTCAATATCTACTAAATTGTGGACTACTCCATAGATCTTAAAGTGCAATCAGTACGTTCAGGTAGTCACCCTGATACAAGTAAAATTTATGAAAAATTAAAGCTAAATTTATCTGAAAGAGTTTGAGGCGAAAAACTCAAAATTGATAAGTTTTCGTAATGTAATTTTTCTTCCTTGTTGAGCTACTTTGAAATTAATTGATTTGGAGAATTTTACACTTTCAATCAGCTTAAACTTTCAGTTTATTGTTGACTTTTCGCAAAACTTTTAACTTACTGTTAAAACTGACAGGGGTTATTTTTTTCCTACATTCGAAGAAAGTATTGAAATATTCATACTCGAGATGGTTTTTCCAGACAATTTTTTGAGTTTTACCAGCCATTTTGACAGCATATTTCAAGTTATCCAGAAAGTATTGTTGTCTTTGAGGGCAAACTTGAAAAATAATTTTTTTTACTCGTCATCATTTTTGGTATACTGATGGGGGTTTAAAGAATTCCAATTCAACCAATTTGAAACAATTGACGCGTGATATATTTCTCACTATTAACGCGTGGGCGGATTTTTATTTTTGTCATAAAAATTGTACCAAATTTAATTGATTCTAGCTATTCGGATTTTTTATTATTTTGCTATATGCGAACAGGACTGCTGGTATCACGGCAACGCCCTGAATGTTCCGACTGACCATAAAATGGTCTAGAATAGTTTCTGGTTAATAAAAAAATCTATAAAATATAAATTTAAACTGAATATTAAGAATCGTGGTTGGAATTATTAAGCCCAATTAGCCTGCCTAAATTCATTTTGTAACAATTTTGTGGTCCGGAAAAGTTAGCCGCGCGTAAATATTGCGAGCTAAACTTTCAGCATAAAGGAATGACACCGCTACTGGAGTCACATTAGTCTATTAGAAAGCGGTTTCACCGCAATCTGTAACACAAAAGAATTTAAAGGTGAGCGCGCCCTTCTCGTACCACGAAGATCTTTTAATCGAGCCCCCGAGGAAAAGTTTTTTAGAATTGGTCCGATTGAAAAAATCACCTCAAGTATATGTATTCCTTACTTTCTTCGAAAGTCGAAACAAAGATATCATTTTGTCCGTTACTTAACGTTTATAGGGATAACCTTCAAAAAAAAAGCTGAAACTGCTTCAGATATCTTCAAAGGCTTCACCCTGATACAAACAACTTGTTATACGTGAATACATGCTTAATAGTTCATTTTATCCCTCGGCTAGCGCGTGGTGGGAAGTTTTTTTTTTAAAACAAAAAACAAATTCTTAAACTTTTTCTTTTCTTTTTAAATTTAAACACACAAAATTTTAACCAGGAAGTAATTCATAGACCTAACAACGCTGTTTGAATTTTAAAGGCTTGGACCTGAGACAAGCAGTTTTTGTTCTTGTCGATATTTGTTTTAGCAGCGGATTTTCTATTTGAATTCAATTTTCAAAAATGCTATTTAATATTTCCTGTCTGATATGCAGTGTCTCATTTGGTAACACCCGGTCGAGAAAAAATGTTTAAAAAAAGTCGAAGTCATTTTCATCTCAGATAACACTCCAAGCATGGCTTCGGGCAGTCTCAACTGACTCTGAGCATTGCGCTTAAATTCTAATTGATCACGAATGTGGGGCTAGTTAATTAGGCCAAATATTACAGGCTTGAAATTTTCATAGGAAACACAAGAATAGTAGGTATGTTTTCGAGACTGGTTTCAAAAGTAGGAGCACCCGCAGCCCTTTTCAAATACATTATGTCCTTTCCAGTGAAAATTTGGGTTCGAGATTGCTTTTTCCAGACAATTTTTGAGTTTTTAACTAGCCATTCTGACAGCAAATTTGAAAAAAAAACTACCTGTTTTCAGGTTTTGTATGAATACGAGGGTATTAAGCTTTTCAATTCAGCCAATTTGGAACAATTAATGCGTGATAAAAAATGCGCTACTAATGTGTGGGCGGATATTTATTTTCGTCAAAGAAATCGTTCCAAATTGAATTGATGCATGCTATTCGGTCTCTTTATCACTGTGCTATATGCGAGCAGGACTGCGGGTATTAAGACAACCCCTTTAATGTTCCGATTGTTCAAAAAAGGTTCCAAATAGTTTTTGGTTAATGAAGTATCAATAAACTATGAGTTTTGAGCCGAATATTAAGAATCGTGCACTGAATAAATCTGCCTAATACGCCTGCCTCAGTTAACTTTGAAAAGTTTTTGTGATGCGAGAAAATCCGCCACACGTAAGTTAGGCGCGTTAAATTTTCAGCATCAAGGTCACGTTTGTGTTTTATAGAGCGTTTCACAGCGATATTAAAGACAGGATACTTTTAGACGAGAGTGCGCCCTGTTACCATGAAGATCCTTGGATCGAGTCCCCGAGAAATTTTTTTTGAAGTATTGGTCTGAATAAAAACCACCTCGAGCATATGTATGCTTTGCTTTCTTCGAAAGTCGGAACAAAGATATCATTTTGTACTTAATCTAACGTTTATGGGGACGATTTTCATAAAAAAAGCAAAAACTGCCTCAGATATCTTAAAAGGCAGTCGGAATTTTCAAGGCTTCACCCTGATACAATCAATCTTGTTATACGTTCATAGTCGCTTAAGATATAATTTTATCCTTCAGCTAGCGCGTGGTGCGAATTTTTTTTTCGTAATAATAAAAAAACAAATTCTTGGGCTTTCTGTTTTCTTTTTCAAAACTCTACACAAATTTTAATGAAAAATTAGTTCAAAGACAAGGCGGTCTAATTTTTGAGGGCTTCGACCTGATACAAGTAGTTTGTATTTGTCGGTTTCTATTTTAGCAGTAGTTAACAAAAAAATCACCCCGAGCATATATATTCTTTACTTTCTTCGAATCATTTATCAATTTTTACTCAACATAACGTTTCAAAAAAAGCAAACACTGCTTCAAATTTTTTAAAAGGCAGTCGGAATATTCAGTGCTTTGCCCCAATACAAGCAATCTCGTTATACGTTAACAGACTTTTAAAATTTATTTTATCTTTCAGCTGGCGCGTGGTGTAATTTTTTTTTCGCAAGAAGCTAGTTTTCAATTTAAAAAAAAAAAAAATTTCATTCAAGTACTAGTTCCTGGACTTGTTAGGGCGTCTGAATTTTAAGGAATTCGACCTGATACAATTAGACTTGTTTTTTGTCGATTTCTGATCTGTGTGGGGCTAGTTAATTAGGGCAAATATTTCAGGCTTGAAATTTTCATAGGAAACACAAGAATAGTAGGTATGTTTTCGAGACTGGTTTCAAAAGTAGGAGCACCAGCAGACTTTTTTAAACACTTTATGTCCTTTCCGGGTAAAAATTTGGGCTCGAGATTGCTTTTTCCAGACAATTTTTGAGTTTTTAATTAGCCATTCTGACCGCAAATTTGAAAAAAAACTACCTGTTTTCAGGTTTTGTATGAATACGAGGGTATTAAGCTTTTCAATTCAGCCAATTTGCAACAATTAATACGTGATATAATTTACGGTAATAACTCGTGGGCGGATATTTATTTTCGTCATAGAAATCGTTCCAAATTGAATTGATGCATGCTATTCGGTCTCTTCATTACTGTGCTATATGCAAGCAGGACTGCTGGTATCAAGACAACCCCTTGAATGTTCCGATTGTCCAAAAAAATAGATGACTTTCAAAAAAAGCAAACACTGCTTCAGATATCTTAAAAGGCAGTCGGAATATTCAGTGCTTCGCCTCAATACAAGCCATCTCGTTTTACGTTAACAGACTTTTAACATTTATTTTATCTTTCAGCTGGCGCGTGGTGTGAATTTTTTTTTTCGTAAGAAGCTAGTTTTAAAACTTTTTTTAAAAAAATTTCATTCAAGTACTAGTACGTAGACTTGTTAGGGCATCTGAATTTTAAGGACTTCGACCTGATACAAGTAGACTTGTTTTTTGTCGATTTTTTTAGGACCGGTTTTTGTAGTTAAATTGAATATCAAAATTGCAATTTAATCCTTCCTGTCTGACATGCAGTGTCTCATTTGATAACACCCTCTCGAGAAAAATTATTTCACTAAAATCGAATTCAATCTCATCTCAGATAACCCTCTAAGCATAGCTTCGGGCAGGCTCAACAGACACTGAGCATTGTGCTTAAATTTTAATTGATCACAAGGCCGTACTAATTAGGGAAAATATCTCAGGCTTGAAATTGTCAAAGGAAACAGAAGAACTGTGGGTACATTTTCGAGGCTGGTTTCAAATATAGGAGCACAGCAGCCTTTTCTTAAACACCTCATGCACCTTCCAGGCAATAATTTTGCGACGGGTGGCAACCGTTCTCAGATCAAAACAGTCCATTAGCGTCTCCTAGAGAGAATAGAGAATCAAAAGAGGGAACCGAAATCAAAAGTTTTTCAGATCTACTTGATCTGTTTTTTTTTGTTCTCACTCAACCATTTTGAATTGGCTCAGTTTATATTGATTGGCTCATTTAGTTTTACTAGAGCTAGGTAGATAAATTTTGCTTTCAATTGTCTTGGGATTACGAAATTGGTTTTCAATTTAGCTTCCTGGTGTTCAGTTTTTATTGATAGAAATGCATATTAATTATCAATGAGACCTCCAATGGAAAGAGCTTATTTCAAAATTAAATCTTTTTCAAATTAGCGAAGTCCGAGAACTAATCAAATATTTAATGGAAGCAGAGATTTGTTTTCAAATCTTTTGATCCCTCCCGTGTCTAAATTCCTGTCAACACCTCGCTTATTTCTGGTCACCTACAGTTTCCATCATTACTTTTCTCCCATAAATCAAGTCGTCTCTATCGGTCAGTTAGTTTGGCCTAAGACTCATTTTTTATTTAATCGGCCACTTCAGATCGCCTGCGAAGCAAGATTTCAAGTTTGGAGGTCATCGGCTCAACTCCGTGGAGTAATTTCTCTAGCGCTTTCGCCCTTGTCAGGTAGGGTTTATCTAGTTCAACGAAATAATCATGAAAACTTTACCCAGTTAAGCACCGATTAACCCAAAACGATTTTTGCCACTGGTATTGAAACGGATCCTAAAACGGATGTTTTGTTCTGTATTCAAGGTAATCGCCCCCTTTTGAGCACAGGCCAATTATTATTATGACTGTGGGGTTTTGTGGGGTTTGTTACAACAAACTGGTGAGCTGTAGTAACAACTGTTTATTGAATACTACATTTTATATTCCTTCCCTCAAGACCAATTTGATCAGCAACATTTTTCAGGCTACATTTTGGTCATATTGAACAAATTGAATGCATTTGCCCCATGAATTTAGTCTGCTGGCTCTATTATCTGTTCATTTGTTTGGTGACAATTTCAAACCAACTTTCTTGTATCTTCATTCAAAAAATACACTGAATGTAAGAACGACTGAATGACGATTCCGTCCTTTGCACATTGAGCAGAGTCATTTCTGATATTTGAACAGAAAAAAAAACAACCATTTTTATATGATATAAAATTTAATATGTCATTCTAAACTTCCGTGTTTTCTGGTGAGTTTGAAAATTTTTATCTTTCGCAGTTCGTAATTTTTATACTTACTAAACGAACTGCATTAATCGGAAACTTTTTATATAACACTTAATTTGATTTTCTTGCCACCTGTAAATGTTTTTTTTTCATAACTTTGTTATAGGAAAAATTTTATTTTTATTTGTGTTTTGCTGAAGACTAGAGACGGGAAAGAACTTTTTACTTTGGAAGAATTTTCCGCAAATTCAGATACGAAGTGAGTGCTGTATTGCTTGAATTTTTTTTTCAGTTGTAGTTCGAGTTATTTTTGTCGATTATTATTCAGGTGTCAAAAAAGTTCGGCTTAATGTTCTGCTAGATATCAAAATTGCAGTCTTGATCAAAATTCGGTATGTTTCGACCCTGCTCGACCGAAACAAACAGGCTCGACCATGCTCGATCCAAGCAAGGTATGTTTCGACCATGCTCGACTGAAAAATAGATGCTCCATCGCGCGCGACCTAAGAAAAATATGTTTCGACCGTGCTCGACCGAAAAAAAATGTGCTCGACCCAATCAAAAAAAAATTTCGACCGTATTCGACCAAAAATATACTTAATCATGCTCGACCCAAGCAAGATAATTTTCTACCTGTCTCGACCGCAAATAATCTGATCGACCGTGCTCGACTTGAGCAAGATGTTTTTCAAATGTCTCGACCACAAAAAATGGGCTCGACCATTTTCAAGTGCTCGATCAAAGTTGAGGTAATTGAGCAAATTAAGGGTGGCGAAAGTTTGGGCATACCAAACATTGGTCGCGAAAGTCTAGAAAATGTTGGTCCAGACTTTCGCGATCCATTTCTAAATTTTTGCGACCAATTTTTGGCATGTCCAGATTTTCGCGACCGAATTTCAGTATGTCCAGACTACCGTGAGACACGGCGCTCATCATTTCCCGACTTTCTAGACTCAAACTCTCGGCGCGACTATGCAATTTTGGTCTGAGTCCGGATGCGGCACAACCCACAAAGTTTGGACATGGTTCTGGTAACGCGTCCCGGAAAAGCAGCTGGTGACAGAAGTCTCAAAAGGAGAGAAAATTGGATTTGTGAATTCTTTTGATTCACCTACTTTGCCTAATATATTTATTTATATATGTATATATGTTCGTTTTTTGTATGTATGTATGTATGTATGTATGTATGTATGCGAGCAGAAAACCCGACAAAACTCATTTCGACTATGCTCGAGGTGTGCTTTGACCATCCTCGACGGTGCTCGATCATGCTCGAGTTATGTTTTGAATTTAAGCTCGAGACAAGCTCCTGTCTCGGGTATTTTTTTTCGGTCGAGCACCTACATGTGCTTGACTTTCCAAGTAGAAAGGTAAAGTGAGCGTAGTATCTGTTCGAGGTATGTTTCGATCGAGCTCGAGGTATGTTTTGACGGTGCTCGAGGTATGTTTCGACCGAAATCGAGGTGTGTTTCGACCGTGCTCGAGTTATGCTTCGACTGTGCTCGGGGTATGCTTTGACCTTGCTCGCGGTATGCTTCGACCGTGCTCGAGGTACGTTTTGATCGTGCTCGAGGTAATGCTTCGACCGTGGTCGATGTATGTTTCAATTGTGCCCAAGGTATGTTTCGATCGTGCTCGAGGTATGTTTTGACGGTGCTCGAGGTATGTTTCGATCGTGCTCGAGTTATGTTTCGACCGTGCTCGAGTTATGCTTCGACTGTGCTTGAGGTATGTTTCGATTGTGCTCGAAGTACGTTTCGACCGTGCTCGAGGTATATTTTGATCGTGCTCGAGGTATGCTTTGACCTTGCTCGAGGTATGCTTCAACCGTGCTCGAGGTATGTTTCAATTGTGCTCGAGGTATGTGTCCAGACTACCGTGAGACACGGCGCTCATCATTTCCCGACTTTCTAGACTCAAACTCTCGGCGCGACTATGCAATTTTGGTCTGAGTCCGGATGCGGCACAACCCACAAAGTTTGGACATGGTTCTGGTAACGCGTCCCGGAAAAGCAGCTGGTGACAAAAGTCTCAAAAGGAGAGAAAATTGGATTTGTGAATTCTTTTGATTCACCTACTTTGCCTAATATATTTATTTATATATGTATATATGTTCGTTTTTTGTATGTATGTATGTATGTATGTATGTATGTATGTATGCGAGCAGAAAACCCGACAAAACTCATTTCGACTATGCTCGAGGTGTGCTTTGACCATCCTCGACGGTGCTCGATCATGCTCGAGTTATGTTTTGAATTTAAGCTCGAGACAAGCTCCTGTCTCGGGTATTTTTTTTCGGTCGAGCACCTACATGTGCTTGACTTTCCAAGTAGAAAGGTAAAGTGAGCGTAGTATCTGTTCGAGGTATGTTTCGATCGAGCTCGAGGTATGTTTTGACGGTGCTCGAGGTACGTTTCGACCGAAATCGAGGTGTGTTTCGACCGTGCTCGAGTTATGCTTCGACTGTGCTCGGGGTATGCTTTGACCTTGCTCGCGGTATGCTTCGACCGTGCTCGAGGTACGTTTTGATCGTGCTCGAGGTAATGCTTCGACCGTGGTCGATGTATGTTTCAATTGTGCCCAAGGTATGTTTCGATCGTGCTCGAGGTATGTTTTGACGGTGCTCGAGGTATGTTTCGATCGTGCTCGAGTTATGTTTCGACCGTGCTCGAGTTATGCTTCGACTGTGCTTGAGGTGTGTTTCGATTGTGCTCGAAGTACGTTTCGACCGTGCTCGAGGTATATTTTGATCGTGCTCGAGGTATGCTTTGACCTTGCTCGAGGTATGCTTCAACCGTGCTCGAGGTATGTTTCAATTGTGCTCGAGGTATGTGTCGACCGTGCTCGAGGTACGTTTTGATCGTGCTCGAGGTATGCTTCGACCGTGCTCGATGTATGTTTCGATTGTGCCCGAGGTATATTTCGACCGTGCTCGACGAATGTTTTGATTGTGCTCGAGGTCTATTTTGACCTCACTCGCAGTATGTTTCGACCAAGCTCGAGATATGTGTCGAACGTGCTCGAATGTGCTCGAACGTGCTTGATTGTACTTGACCGTGCTCGACTGTGCTCGACCCCTGCTCGAGTTAAGTTTTGAAAATGTGATCGACCCAAACCTCAGTGTCGATTATTTTTTTTCGTTCGAGCACTTACATGTAATTGACTTTGCAAGCCGAAAGGTAAAGTGAGCGAGGTAAATGCTCGAGGTATGTTTCGACCGAGATCGAAGTAGTTTTTTACCTTGCTCGAGGTATGTTTCGAATATGTGCTTGACTCAAACCCCTGTCTCGACTATTCTTTTCATTCTACTGCACTGAGAACAACTGTCTTCTAAGTTAAATTTATTTTTTTCTGTTGCTGAAACTATGAATAGTTTCAGCGTTACAAATAATTGTAAGTGTTAGTTATGGATCATGATTGTTTAGTTAGAAATTTTTTATAGAGATAGTTTTATCAATAGTATAATTGGATATAAATACTAGTTTTAAAATGGTTCCACTTTGGCAAAAAACTCAGCTTGACATTTGTTCCCTTTTTGTTAATTGTTCTGAATTGTCCGATTCTATGCATTTTTTTTTCAGAATTGCCAGAATAAAGGCTTTAGCACCGCCTCGATAAAACAGCAGAAAAAAATTAACAGCAAATTCAATTGTAAAATGTTGTGCCACTTCACTACATTCGAAGTTGTTGTGTTTTTTGTCTAAGTGGTCCATCCAGATCTTAAAACACAAAACCGGTTTTGTCTGCATTCAAAATATCTCAATATTTACCATTTTGTGAATGCCTTCTAACTGCTACTAAGACAGAAAAAAATAATGGAAACCATACAATTGCCCGGATTGATGCCACAGAGCTAATAAGTACCATTCCAGCATTACAATAGCAATGGAAGCTCATAACTAAAAAAAATAATTGATTGAAAAACAATTCTGGATTATCTGTGTTCATAGGTCCAATCTTAACGAAATTTAGCGTTATCAGTTCTTGATTGATTAAATTTTTAATCATCAAATAATTAGCAAAAGAATGAACTGTGAAATTATTTGTAGAAATGAAAATTGAATTTATCCCTTTGCTTTTCAAATTTAACTAGTGAAATAATGATATGTTTTACTCTGAGAGGTCTCAGATATAACACAGTCAGTAGAAAGGTCACAAAAAGGATGTGGCGTAGAGGTAATACGATGGTAGCTTGAGCGCAATAGGTAAGGATTATTATCTGGCGAACAAAATTTTACCTAATTGGCGAGATGTATTGTGCAATTTATTAATATCGCTGCATTTTTTCTCATTTCATAATGATCAGATCTATCGAAGACCGGAAAAGCACCAGCACAGAACTGCGTTAGTATTCAAACAGTGTTGTTACTTGTTTTTTGTTCCGAATTTCGTAACGAGAGGTACGAAATATTTGTGCTCGGGTTGTTTTTTTGTCTTCAGACGAATTTCGACTTTTTAGCTAGCCATTTTTGATGATTTTTTCTTACTAAAACGGTATTGTTGTCCAGTGTTTAAATTTCAGAAAATATTTCATCTGTGATCGTTTTTTGTGAAGTTATGGGGTTTAAAGATTGCCATTTTGGCCAATTTGGGAGAATTAGCGCGCGATATATTCTTCGCTATTAATGGGTAAGCGGAGTTTCAATCCGTCCTAGCAATCGTTCCAAATTGGTTTGTTACTAGGAGCGACATCTATCACTTTGTATTATATATGGCGTGTGGCGGAAAAATTTTCACAAAAAAAATCTCTAATTTAAATTTTAAAAAATATAATTTATTTTATTACATTTTTTAAAAAGTTATTACTGCTCCTTAGACCTTAAAAGGCAGTCGGAACATTCATGGCTACACCCTGATACGAGCAGTCTTGTCTGAATTTATCTCTGATAAGGTCTAAAGTAGCACCAACAGTTTACTGCCCGTACTGACAAGAAATGGATTGAAATCAATTTTCTACAATTGATGTAGCAAACACCTAAAAAAATAGGATCTGAATCGATTTAAAATTGATTCAGTTTAAAAA